TTGGCTCCAAAGACATTTCTTTCTACACGTGACGCTGATAAAGTATAAACTTCTCTCCACAGAAAAGAAAACTACCATGAGGTGCTGTGGAGGAAATTTATGATGTCTTTCCTAACCAAGAAGTGACATATCATATGCCATAAAAGTGACATATCAAACATGTCTCAAGGAAATTTTCTGAAAGTCAGGTTACCATCTGGTAAATCTTCCTCATTTCAAGCACTGTCGTGTAATTTGTGACAGGAAGTAATGCTGCATCTGCAACTGGGTCAGATCAGCAGGATTATTCACATCATGAACCAACATCCACCTATGCACCTAGGAGCAATTTAAAAGGAGGGGGGAACAATACTAAAGAGGACGTACTATAAAGCACATTACAGGTGCAGCTGTTGGTTACAAAGGGCACGGGACATTATGATTACTTACCTGCATGCATCATCACTGACTGCTCCCACCTAAGGCCTCAGACGAGTCTGATTCCTCCTGGGTCGTTGTGCTACTTCCTCAGTGTAACCCAGTGATGTCCTTGTGTTCTCCTAGTGCTAACGTCAGCCTCTCTCTGTGTATAGATTCCCTGGACCTTGGCCTGTTTTCCTTCCCCGTGGACCCTGAGTGGATAAGCGTAAGAGTGAGTTTGGACTGGATTATTGTGTGAGTCAGCGTGTGAAGAGGAGTTTGGACCTTCCCCTGGCTGCCCTGGATCCAGCTTCGTCCCCCCAGCACTGTATATATGTATATATCTCACCTGGTGACACCTGTGTAAATAAATTCATTCAGAGTCCTGTGTTTGATTCATGCACTCGTAATCGTGACAGTTATGCAGATGGGAACTGATAAGAATTTAGTGATTATAAATTCATTATCAATATCACTTATTGATTCGATTCCCTATCGATTCTCATTGGCTCCAGTTTGAGGGTCACCATCACCTCTCAGCGGCATATCAAAGACATTACATCCATGCACATTAACTACATGCTGTGTGATCAAACATTCGTGCATGTTGGAGGTGTTCCCCGCTTTGTTGTGATCGGTGATGACAGGGGATTTCTTTATTAAATTATTATTATTATTTTGTTAAAAAAGTGAATGCACATATTGCACAGAACACTTGTCTGAAAAGTAATGCAGTACGTTACTTCATTACACCCAGGATAAAGACATTCGTGTACTACTCGTTACTTTCATGTTACTCTGTAAGATCTGAACACTGTCACATAGTTACCACTGAACAATATAAACCTACAGGCTACAGTCACACACACCAACACAATCCATCCTGATGACCTCACACGTGATCTTTCTCTGTGTGTCGGTATGAGCACAAAGCAAAGATGAAAACCAGCACAAAGAGACTTCACAACGGTTGTCACGGTGATTCTACTGTAGAAACGCCTCGCCTCTGTCAGTGCGGCCCAGGGTGGCTGTGGCTACAATGTAGCTTACCATCACCAGTGTGTGAATGGGTGGATGACAGGTTATGTAAAGCGCTTTGGGGTCCTTAGGGACTAGAAAAGCGCTATATAAATACAGGCCATTTACCAAACATGAACAGGTAGAAGCGGAAGCTGCAGCCTGACTGCTGTTCAGCAGCAGCTCAGGTTATCACGGTGCTGGGTCAGCACTTCCTCAGCTTCAGCATCACTCTGCGTTCTTGGCTATTAGAGTTAGCATGCTGTTTGTGCAGGTGCTTGCTAAGAGCCAAAGTTGTGTTAACAGTATGATGCAGCTGTTTCTGTCCTGCAGCAGTCTCCACTTTACAATCGCGCTCTCAGAATCAGAATCAGAATCAGAATGGGGTTTAT